GGGGGGGGGGGTGTTATGTAAAGTTAGTGGTTGCAAGGCACTTTTCCTTCTTCCTCTGCTCTCTCTGGACCTATGCAAGATGTGACAGATGAATGAGAATGTGTTTTGTTTTAAAAAGCCTCCTTTTCCCTTGCCAGTGCGTGCGTGGGGGCCAGAGACCCTTACTGTGGTTGGGATCTCCTGCTGAAGAAATGCACCACGCTCGAAGAAAGCGCCAGAATGAGCCAATGGGAGCAGAGCATTACAAAGTGCCCCGTGAGTATCCGTCACATTTTGGGGCTGCCGCTTTCCTCTTTTAAAAAGTCAATCCATCCGCATGAATCTTATATTTCCATCCACGTCCGCTCGAGTTGCTCTGCATTCACTCAATTCATCCCAAGAATACGACTGAGCGAGGTATCCTTTCCAAAGAAAGGCATCCTGGGAACCAACAAGCAAAGTTTACGGGAGCGGCATGTCTCGGAGGCGCGCTTCCTCAAATCATTCACCTCTGGCTGCTTCTCCACATTTCTTCAAACTCGTCACCATTTGGGGAGCGACAACCGCTCAATATTTTCAGCGCCGCGCCGCTTTTTGAGAAATATCCCTCGTGTGATTTTCACGACCGGAGGAGGCTGTTCCGTGCTGTGTCGCATGTTCACAGGCAGATTGTCAGTCTTTCAAACATGTCTTAAGGAAAGAGCGCATAACATAACGGCATGCGCACATTCCAACACAATTGTCAGGGCAGGCAGTCTGTGGCGTAATCGACAGAAGCTGCGGCAGCGACTTGAGCAGTCGTACAACAGCCGGTTGGCCCCTCGATACACTTCCTCACGGCCTCCCTTGCATAGAAAATGAGGGCGTTTTGCATAAAACCTGTGGCACTTTTTTTATCCCTCAGCATCCAAATCATTCAAACGAATGAGTGTCAGTATTCTGTGTGCGGCGTTTAAATGATCGCCATTCGTGTCGAGATGCTGCTAATGATAAAGATGACTTCATATGCGTCCGCACAGGTTTGTGCATGCATAAATAGACGCATCTGCATAAGACACATCTGCAAGTAGGATTAATACGTTGCCATTATGGCGCCACAAATTCAGTTTGGAAATACTGCGGGGAAATTTGTCACATGAGCAGAAAATGCAGCGCTTACATCTGCAGGTAGATTGAAAACGCTCGGACTGATTACGAACAAGGGCACACTGACGTGCAATTGGTACCTGCAACTTTGTCCACTTTTTCACGATCAATAGTGTGTCATCTACATCATCTGGAGCAGTTCAGGAGTCGTATCTCATCACATAAAACCTTTTTTCCATCATTTAAATAAAGAAGAAATTCACGAGTGGGTGCCTTGACTTTGGATGCATGCATTGCACAGAAAGAGTCAATCTACCAGTCACGACTTGTACTTTCACGTCTTTAAGCGTGTGTAAGTGTGAGACGTCACTGCCATTGTACACACGCAATTAAGTGAAAAGCGGCAAAACTGTAGAGCCACGTAGACTCTTGATATGGAAAATGGCAAAGCAACAAATTTTTGTTTGACATATCGCAGTTTTTTTCTTTAAGACATTGCAATATTCTGAAAAAAAATAAATCATAATAATGACCAGTTATTTCACTTTAGTAGAGGTACCAAGATGCACTTTTCAATTAACACCCAGCCACATGTTATTTCGCAGACCGCGGATATGTAAAATATTAACCTCGCTCAAGAATGCACAGATGAAAATGTATTGAATGCATTCATTCATGGATTTGAGGTTCAATTCTAAGTATGAAATCTTGGGCCACACACACAAACACAGATACACAAAGCATGCGTTTGCGTTGTAATGTCTCTTATCCATCAAGGAAAAATCCGGTCGAAGCTTCAGGACGATCAGTGAAAATTCATATTTGAAATATTTAACCTTTTTTTTTTTTTTTTTAATGTGTCAACCTGGCTCATTTTAGCTTTCCTGTCATTTCGAGTTCCGCTGAGAAAACAACCTTGCAGTTTCATTCCATTTTGTTTCTCCTTTCTATTACGCTGGCTACTGTCCAGAGTGTGCTTGTGCGCCGAGGTGGAAACGTGTATTTTCTCATATCGCTGTGCTTCCGTGTGTGTCCATTGCGTGCATTTTGGAACATCATCTTCCGAGACGCATTTTCATCAGACTGCACACCTCGGTTGCCGCATACTTGCCTGCCAACGCCTGACTACTTCTAGATGCCATAGATGGTGTTTTGCGCCTATCTGGGGGAAAATACACTTCGAGTGTCGCGCTCACCGGCCTCCGCCTGTGTTTTCCTGCCAAGCAACGCGCTCCCAAGGCCAGTTTCTTTTTCAAGCTTTTGACGTCATCCGCTTTCATTGCCAACAGGTCCGTAATGTGACGGTTGATGGCGGCTTTGGCGCCTGGTCGGGATGGTCGGCTTGTAGCCACAATGACGGCGGCAGCGCGGGGTCCTGCTTATGTCGGACGCGCGCATGCGATAGCCCCATTCCTCAGTGTGGCGGTCAGAGGTGTCACGGCATCAGCGTTGAGGTCGCCAACTGCTCCAGGCAAGTTTCGTCCGATGCATTGACTGCAAAAATGCTCATCCATTTGCTGTGCGCTGAGGTGGAAACGATGCTCCAAATGCTTTTCCACTTAATGTGGGGCTGCGATGTGTTAATGAGGATCACAAATTCAATCTTTGTTTGGAAGGCAATTATTTTGGTGCCGTTTTTGCACCTTTCCCAACTTTTTGAGAATGTGGCAATTGAAATGAAACGCTTTTGGTTTCCATATTGAGTTTTCGGCACAAAATGAGCTTGCCGTCTGTTTATTCTACAATGTCCTTCAAGTGAATTCCGAATGTAAAACCTGAAAAAGAACAATTGGGCTGACACAGGAATGGGAATAGCCTAGAAAACCAGACGGTAACATTGAATTGCCAATTACGTACTCTCCACTGTCTTTTAATGAATTACAAAGTATGATTTGTTCGAAATTCTTTGTGTGTCTCCATAGAAACGGAGCCTGGACTCCGTGGACTTCTTGGTCTCCTTGCAGCACCAGCTGCGGTATTGGCTTTCAAGTTCGTCAGCGCTCCTGCAGCAACCCGACCCCACGTCACGGCGGCAGAGTGTGTGTGGGGCAGAATCGCGAGGAGAGGTACGACAAACGTCCACTTGTCTTGGTTGTGAATCGATTTCAAAAGCAGGGGAAAAAATGGCAAAACGACCTTCATGTAAAATTTCAAGTCCCAACGCATGAATGGCGCGAGAGCCTGTCAGGCATCTTCAAGTGAAGTCATAATGACGGCGATAATAGATGAATTTTGCGGCGTTATGAAGTGAGGGGCCGTTTGAGGCTCAAAATGGAAAAATAAATTAGGTACAGAGTGAAGAGAAGATTCACGGACGACAAATAGACACGCAGTCAAGTTAGTACTCGAATAATATGGAGCAAAGTAGCTGGATTAACTACGCGGCGCACACGACTGATCCATCTCCTCATCCTTTCCTTTCGGGAAATTGAGCACCCCACATTATTATTACAACTAAAACGGATGACGATTATCGGATATCTCTGCTGTCGCCTCTCAATCCATCTTTGTCTCGCCCCACCTGGTGCGACAGTCCTTGAGATATGCTCTTCTGCTCCACCAGTTGCCTTGAGCAAAAAACACTGTGACAAAAACTGGCGAACTCGTGACCTAACAAAGACTGCAGGCGGCCATTTTAGATATTCCTGTTTTTTTTTAATGATGAAAGCGCAGTTTGAACTTCTTAATCCGCTGAAGCTGTTTTTTTATTGGTGTTTTGGGCGTGACTCGTTTTGCGCGCGTTTGTGTGCACGTGACTTTGTGTAAACCAGCTCATCTACGTAGCGCACACACATTTATGATCCAGTCTCTTCTTGACACTTTTTCTTTTCTCTCTCCCAAGTCCCCCCATTCTGTCCCACTTCAAGCACGCAGATTAGTCAACATGAAAAAGAAGACCCCTCCAAGGATTATTTTCTCCAATCACAATATTCAAGAATATCGCTTTTGATTTTCCATGAAGAGCCGAGTATTTGGGAATAGCACAATGGAAAGGATTCCATTTCAGCGTGGAAAGCTATTTCAGCACTTAAAGCTATCCCAAAAGGCACGCAAGCCAAGACACAACAAAACGGGAATTAAAGCCGTTTTATCGCGTCTTGAAAAGTTGTAAACTATATGACAGCCTTGACAGCGTTGTTGTAAAATAACTGCTTTTACCCTGTCTCATAAAAATTTTGCGATGAATGCGTTCCCGAAGCGTTGTCATCCATCCGTCAGTTGTTCCTTTGTCTGTTGCGATGCGGGCATTTCAATCGTGAAGTCCCGAGCACGGTGACGCCACGTTCAAGCCACGTGAAGAACAATGCGCCGCTCTTGTCCAATTTGTCAACATGACATGCCTGTACGGACATCCTTGCCTTGCGGTATGAAGACTTTGTAGCTATTTCAGTTTGGTGGCGAGACACACTGAGGAGGAGGCATCGTATGCCTTCACATTTAATTATCTTGTCACTCAAAGGACACTTGTCATGCTTCGTTTTGTTTTTGCGCGAATCGCTTTGCATTGGTGTGACTGCCGTAAAATAAATAAAGACACTAGCTTCATTATTTTGAATTCTTTTTTTTTGCTCTTCAATCAGGGGGATATTTTCTTGCGTGCTTTCTTGCGCACTCTGTAGCTGCGGCAATCCTCCCATCTCGGATAGTGAGTCGGCCATTGTTTCAGCGTCGCCTAGCAACGCATCTGGCTGCACACGCGTACGTGTCATGTCTACGGATTTTAGGCCCGGCATATATTTCTAACAAATGCTTCAAAAGCTCCAATGACAGCGGTTGTTGTGAGGAGCACTTTCAGACAAACTTCAAGCCGCCGGCACGAGTTCGAAGCCGCACTGAATCTGTAAATTGAATCACAACACTCACCTGACTTCCCTGCAGGTGTGGTTTCGTTTAGCACACAGTGATATGAATGGTTGTCTCTGTCGAGATATGCCCTGTCGTTGACGAGCAACCTTTTGCCTGAAGTCAGCTGGGACAGGCGTCGGCTTCCCATGAGAGGCTGTGGAGAAAATGAACGCATGCATGGATGGATATACTGCGGCTCGTATTACAGCTCCCTTTTTCTTGGTCAGGTACTGTAACGAAAACCTGCCCTGCCCGCCACACGTCTACTGGTCGGCCTGGTCGGCGTGGGAACGCTGCAACGTGCCTTGCGGCGGCGGCATCCAGTCGCGCCGGCGAACCTGTGAGAATGGCAACGACTGTCCCGGGTGTGGCCAGGTACGTCATGCGAGAAGAAATGTCCTCCAACGTTTATCTGATGCACTGCCCATCCGCTCACATTTTTCTTAGTCTCTCAGTTTGCGCTATGTGGCGCGGTTAGCGGTCTCACCGGCTACGGAAAAGGAACGTAGCCCCATACTGGTCACGTTTATAGTGCGGAAGCATCCGTCCGATATATTGCCGGGAGCCGTTTTGTACCACAAATACCATAAGCCGCATATTAATAGGTTTTGCGTGTTCCCAAACAAAGGCACAATGCAAAGCTCAGGCTGAACGATGAATCGTTTTCTCTTGTTGACTGCGTGATGTGGTAATTACATCATCTCTGCTGCTTTTATCTCCGAAATTAAAATCGAGATTTGTGGGTGTCTTTTCCTCCTTGCCCCTTCGGTGTTTATTTGAGTGTTATGCTTCGAGAGAAAAAAAAAGCTCTGACGGATGCAAATTGTTTGGTGACTGTGCCGCCGTCAGCAAGCCATTCAAACCTGCTGTGTTCTGACCATATGGACAAAAGACAACTTGACTCTTCTCGGGCTTCCACTGCCATCAAGGTATGCTTGGATGAGTTTGGTCTGGAGGAACTTTACGAGCACATCGGGAGGAGCCGTGAATAGAGACAGCGAGTGAGGCGCGCTTGACCGACGTCAACTGGACTTTTGGACAAAAAAGAAATCCCATTTAAGGCTTTGTTTTGATTTCTTCATTACATGCAGCTCTCCTAACTAGGTCGTTCAGAAGTTAACCTTCCAGCAACGGCGTCGGTGTCTCGATTTATTTTGACCTACTACTGTGAAGAATAGCCGGGGGGCAGGGGAGGGAAATACGGGTGGAGGTGTCGACTCGAGAGCGGGCTTTTGTTTGTACATGTATGTTTTCTGAATATTGAAGAACAGCAAGTGTTTTTAAATTCTATCAAAAAAGAAAAAAAAGGATGATGACAAACATGCCAAGTTGCTCCAACATGGATGCAAATCATTGCAGGGTGAGCACATCATAGTCTCCCGCAAAGCTAATCAAAGCTGTTTCAAGGTAAAGTCTTAAGACTGGGCACAAATTAATTTGAGTCCTTTTAGTTAGCAACGGTTGAGACACGGACAGAGTTCAAATTGGGAGGAAAAAAAATACTGTAGCGTCAAAGTAACCCTTTTTCGGCTGTTACTTACAACCTACGACGATGCCCCCTAACCACAAGAGACACCGGTCGACTAAATTTGTGGAAAAAGGCCACCCTAAGCAGTATCTAATGGACCGTTTGATAAGATGGAAACAATAGTTCCGACTGTATTATGAAGCCTCCCTCACAGCCTGGTAGCCTCAGCCCCGCAGACTGATAATTGACCATGACATGTTAGTTGCTACACAACATCACGCAAATGGAAACGGCACCTCCCCACTTCCATTGCGCGGTCACACGCTATTGCCCCTAACGCTTTCTCTTTAGCGCTCAAGATGTCAAAATAGCCACTTCCACGCATCAGCCATATTGCTCTGATCTATTCAAGGAATGTCGCGATGTTAATAGTAGACTATACAAATGGATTTTGAGAGAAGCTCAGCATTCAACACTCGTGTTTCCCAAAGCGGAAAGTCTGGACTGATTTTGAAGCGATGCGTTTTCGACAGCCGAGTGAGGCGTCTTATCTGTTCATGGAGCGTATTAAGAGGGACTTCACAAAGCTGCCCACAAATCCGGAAATGTCTTCAATGAACGTCAAGAATTCAAATTCAGGGAGAACAAAGGGACCCAGCACTTTGAATCACATTGTAATCAAGTTCGAATTCCATTCAGATTCAGATTTTGGTTGACAAAACGGCATCATGGCCAAAGGTTTTTTTTTTTTCCTTTCTGAAATGTTCATGCGTAATTGTCACTTTAACGACGTACGGATATCAGGGTTCAGAGTGTGTTGGAAAGTGGACATCAACTTTTCATAGACGTGTCACAGAAGTTGAATTCTTAAACAGTCACAGTGGGGGGTGTTTTGTAATCAAGTGCGGACATCATGAACTATTGTAATTATGGACAATTGATCTATCATCGAATGTGAATGTCAGTCAGATCTTTGTGGAATTCAGCCCGGTAATTACAGTTACCCCGCGTTGCAAATCACGCATGGCTGATTGCGAAACGGTTCTGCAAATGAAGGTCACCCAAACAGCCAAACAAGCGGGGAGGGATGTCAATTCACGTTTTAATTATTCATGCCGCAGCGACGTCCACTGACAATCAGGATTGCTTCCTCACTACTACTGAAATCGCACAGCCTGCCCGACATGCTGTCAAGAAAAGCCAGAGAGCTGAAACTGACATCTTAACAGCAACGGCGTACTGCATAGAGACCCATACATACGTTGGAGAAGCAACTAATCTTTAACCAATTTGGCGTCAAGCTTTGGAAAATCTGCAATTCTGAAGGCCTTAGATAGTTGGTTGGATTTGGTGAATGATGTCGTGCAAAATCTAAATGGTTGAAATGAATATTTGCGGGTATGTATTTGTACATGATTGCAACTTTGCACCGTGTCGTGGAAATTACTCAAAAGTTCATCTCCTGGGCAACTGCATCCTCCATGACGAGGTCACGCAGGGCGAGGTCTGTGTTTGACAAAGTGCGCTGCAGAGATGAGACGGTGCTAATTAAACTGATGTGCCATGGAGATGTAAGGAAGGCTCCGTCGCCATGGACACGATGGCGTTTGATAAAGCCTCCGAAGAGGACCAGCCGCACAAAAATTTCACGTCTGGAAGTTTGTCTTAAATGTCAGGGAGCCGGTGTGTACGTAAATAGGCAACAGCACAACCTCGACATGCAACAACATAGAAACACCAATAAGCAGCGTAATTAGTGTAATCATGGCGGGAGGTTAGACGGGCAAGACTTGTTATTATTCACCTCCAACTGGCCGAGCACAAGAGTACCGTATCCACAAAAAAAGACCTAATGAGTACACCAGGCATACTTTCTCCTGCCACAACGCCAGGTACACACACACACATGTGCGAAGCCCCAATGCATATTTCCTTTGTGTTCTTTTGAAAAGACGTCACGAGCGTGCTCCTTATACATTTGTTTTGGGTTCATGTCGCGGTGTCGTGCTTTGTGTTGGTTCACCTTGTTATTTTCATGTCTATAGGGAAATGACATTTAATTTGTGTCCATGTTTGTTTTGCTAAATGCAGCATGATGGCAATATAGCCTCAAATACCTCAAATGGACTTTTGACTTTTTGAAAAATCACTTGTCAGTCCTTTACGATTTATACTGTATTTGGCTACCTGTACTCTAGGGTATGCAGGGAAATCTCTAGAATCAAAGTATTTCACCTCTTGCAAAGCCACATCGCTCTTTATGAGGGTTCAGTCAGTGCGATGTATTTATGAGCTATACATTGACCATGTTGCTATAAACTATATACAAGCAGTAGTTAAGACGGCCTCTTGAGTCACTGAATGTAGTTTAGCTCTCAGCCCAGTAATGTAATCTCCTTAGGTCTCTGCCTTGACATGATTCCTTTGAGAGCATTGGTGGGAGGGGGCATACCAGCAAAGTTTCATGAAATATTTACTGTGTTTGGCAACCATTAACAACTCGTAACACCCACAGACCACTTACCTTTATCTGGCTTTTGTCCACACGTGAGCTTTTTCTTGTAGTTGAGTTGCTGCGGGCGCCTGAAAGGCAGGAAGGATGCCTTTGCGTAGCTGCGGATTTGTTGTGTCTGATGACCACAGACAGGTGGCGGCTCGTGTGGAATCATGTTAAATATTAATGTGTGGCGGCGATTACGGCACTAGATGGAAAGAGGCAGGAAGTGCAGTGGACGTGACGCACTCGATCAGCGCGGACGCTAACGGAATCTCAATCTCGCCAGTGTGTTTATAACCTTGGCTCTCAAAGAGGGGGAAAGTGTGACGATCGAAAGATGGTGGAAGGAGGACCGAGAAGTGGGGATGAGTTATGAACTGTAAAAGAGAGCATACAGAGATGGATGGAATGAGACAAGAAGTAAAAGTGACGATGAGGAGTGGTGTCCACTTCGTGCAGAATAGGCTGCCACACGTGAGCAGATAATTAGTTGTCTTCAGACTTGGTGCCGCAGTTTGTATCCCAAGGCTATTCTGCACGACTTGTTCCAAATAACTAAAATGTGGATGTTTGTGAGCACAAGACAGCTCCTGCTCAGTATAAGTGCCACAGAAGCTTCTTAGTTCATCAGAGGACCATGTGCTGTTTACTAGATGCAGCGTACCCTCCCTGCAAGAATGACGACGACCACTCTGGGTGCCATTTATTACAGTAATAATAAAAAATATTTTCCCACAACAGGGCCCAAGGCACTGAACCAAAAGTAAAGTGAGAGTTGACCTCCACCAAGGCAAAACAATGCTCATTTAGAGCAGAAGTATTTGCCATGTTAGTATTAAGGGGGAAAGAAACATTTATGGTTTCCAATTGAATTGCATACAATGAATCGTACAACTTTTTAGGTCACTTAACATTTTTTTCCCGATAAGAAACGGGTATGGTGTGCAGCAGTAACATTAAAGTTATCGAATCAGATTTGAATGTGCAGGTGTACCTAATTTTGTGACCTGTCACACGACTATCCGCCAGGCTCTTATCTTCTTTTTCAAGGTCTAGCAGTCACTCAAGGCATATTCAGCATAAATAAACAAGCCTGCAAGGGGAAAATAGCAGCCGGTCTTTCACTTCTGCCATGGAACCGCCGTGATTATCTTCTGACTCTAGTTATCATCCCATACAGCGCCACAAATGTTATTTTCTGACCACTTGTCCTAATGGAAGCCGGTGGAGGCAATTTAAGGCCATACATTCTCACGACGTTCCTGAATGTGACTCACATTGTGAGCTTCAGTGATGTGTTTTTCATATTTATAGCCAGATGCAGACAGGAGAAAGCGGCTCATTTCTACCTCCATGGTTTCTCTTCCTCGCCTCGCATCCTTTGCTCTCCCCTTCTCCCCTTTTTTTTTTTTTCACTTGCCTCTGAACTCCATCAATGACCTTTTCTGCCTGCTTTGTTTGCGTCTCGCTATGTTCAGTGAAGGTGTCTGAAGGGAAGGTATCCTCATCGGGCCCCAGCCAGCCGAGCGGATATTTTGGCGGGGCAGACTGCCATATCAGCGGCATCAGCCACCCAGAACCAGAATCAGCTGCCTTTCAAGGATGAGCGGCAATGAAATATTTGAAAGGGCGCTTTGTTTCAACATCAAATATCGCATTTGAGAATTTTTCGGAGCAATTGCCTGGTGTTTTTACTCGGCTTGGAAAATACTGCAATCGTTTCTCTCTGAAATGTTCATGCGTAATTGTCACTTTAACGACTCGTGATTATCTTCTCCAACCTACCGCATAGAAACATTTTCCCCTCCCCTCATCCGCAGGAGTACCAGTCGTGCAACTCCCAGCCTTGTCCTGACCTGAAGAAAACCACTCCGTGGACCCCGTGGACACCGGTGAACATTTCCGACAATGGCGGGCACTATGAGCAGCGTTTCCGTTACACGTGCCAACATCGTATCCCGGATGCCAGCCTGCTGGAGGTGGGCAGGCAGAGAATCGAAATGCGCTACTGCTCCAGCGACGGCTCGACGGGCTGCTCCACTGATGGTGAGAAGCTATTGCTGCCTCGCCCGCTGGATTTTTCTGCCTTGGTGCAGCCCCGCTGTCTTTCTGCATGTTTTTCACTCCAAAAAAAAAAAAAAAAACCCCTCATTTTTCAGCTTCTGTCATTTATCAACAGGCCAATGCGTCAGACATGTTAATTAACTTCCACCCAAAAGCCAATCTTTACATTAAAGCTCCATCAATCTCTGATATGATGAACAATTTGGGCAAAGGTATTTTGGAGCAACTCCTTCATTAATCCAAGGTGAGGCTAGAACCACTTGTCCTCACTCGGGTAGCGGGCGAGTTGACATTTGGTGAAGCGGTGGGGCGAGATTCAAACCCAGAACCTCGCAAAGAAGAGGCATCCAAGCTATCCGCTGCCACGCAATCATTCCATCGAAGGAGAAAATGTGTGTGGAGAGCATAGAAAGGAAGCCAAAAAGAAATGGGCTCTACCCACAAACACAAGCCCCTTTCACACGACCTGCAGCTGGCATCTTATCCCGTTCCTTTTCAGACAAAAAGCCACAGAAAGACTGGGCCATGTCTATAATTTGTGCTCATCGAAACTGTGTTCTGGGACAGAGAAAGCAGCTGAATGACCGTCATCCCGGTGGCGTTTTATTGGCCTTGACACAATATGGAAAACAAGGTGTGAATCTTTTCCAAAATGTTCCTCTTCACGTCTGGTGATGCAGCACTGAGATGCGCCTCAAGAGAAATCAGGTCGTTTCCTAGCGGCTCGCAAATCAGGCAGGGAAAAAAAACAATCTATGTGCTCGTATGCAGAATGAAAATAGATGTTTACGAGCCGATTCCATTCACGGTCAGTCGTGTTTCAAGTTTATGGCCTTCATTTTGGTTTCTCATTTGAAGCCGATTCATTACAAGCTTTCTCCTTAACACGCTGTCTGGCTGCTCCGCTAATCTCCCATCACATCATCTTGTTCGGGACGTCTTTTGCCTCGCCGCCACATTGTGTGGGCTTCTACAAATTGCTCACATGCTTTCATCTCACACAGTCATCATGTGATGCGCACGTGATGGTGATGCACGAAGGGCCTTTATTGCTCTTGACTCATGTTAAGATGTGTATCCGTTTTTATGACAGCAGATAAATGGTGACAGTTTTTTTCTTTAAAAGCTTTTACACTGCAGCGCATACTGTGCTGACTCACGTGATTGCTCATAGCTTAATGATAGCAATGAATGAGTTTGTAGGAACCTGCGATGGCTAAAAGCCCAGATGTCAGAATCAAAGCCAGGGTGTCCTGCTTCATGCCCATTTCGGATGTATTCTTTTCATTTGGTTAAATTTGTGTGAGTGACATTTTTTGTTTTTGTTTTGCAAGGATTTATGGAAAATTATATTTTCTGGCCACTATTTCCCATGACTTCTCAGGGTGTGAGAAGAAACCCACAGCCATCGCTTTGGAAGCTTGTGAGTTTATTCCCTGGTCAGCTCGCTTTGGTGAGCGATGGCTTCATTGTTTCCCCTGGAGAAAGTGCGGGATGTCAGCAGGCTTGACGCGTTTCACTTGAGCTGATGTGCTATCAGGGCCAGGACCCTCTTGTGGGCAACAGATTACTTTTCCACACAGCACAGACTTGGTCGACGCACGCCAGTGCTGACGGATGATAACCGTTGCGCTATCCTTATTGTCTCTGCTTTGTTTTCCCTCTCTGCTCAGCCAGCACGCTTCGCTTTATACGGCTGACTCGCTTTTATCAACACAGAAAACAGAACGGGCTTAGCTTACAAGTGCGCGCAGTTTATTTGAAGTTTTCCATCACGGGTCTTCTCCAGGACTTTTTTTTTTTTTTTTTTTTTTTTTAATGAATACAAATCTAAGATGAATAGTGTAAATGTCCATTCCATTTACCAGAATGATTCATATGTTTATGATAAACGGATTTATTTTTTTGTATGGATATTTTGGGGGGGTTTTGCTTCCATGGCGTCCTGCTCGGGCCTCAAGTTCCAGGGGAGAAAAAAGGCGTATTTTTGACAATAGTACCAAAAAAAGCTGACCTTGTCGTCTTGCTTCTCAATAGCTTTTGTTCTTTTTTTCTTGCTGTATATTTGATACATTGAAAACCATCAAATTGAGGCCCACATCTGCACCGTGCGCTCCGACTCAAGCAAAACCTTTCAACCTGGATTTTTCAAAAGCATACCTTTGCATTCTAGCTGTAATTTATTCCCATGAGCATCTGTTTTCAAATGATTTCCACTCATCTTTAAATACCGCAACGTTGTCAGCATGGAGTTACAGGAGAAGTTCTATGCGGCAAAAACAATTGGTGAGGGCCAACCGTCTGTCAGAAGTTGAGATCAAGCGATTCTCACCAGACAAACTAGCGGGCCACATAAACGATAAGCCAACATATGAAAAGAATTGCTGGGTTGGCATTGTGATTTAACATCCTTGAAGTCAGGCTTTGATGGAACCCATATGGGTGACGAATCTGATGGTTCGACAAAACACAAGCGTACAGTGGAGCCGGACCAGCGGGATATCGCATTTGTTACTGTACCCTCCAAAGCAATCTAATGTGACCCCCAGCAGCTTTCACGTTGGTGGTGGTGGTGTTGTTTCTTCCTTTGAAGACCAAACTCCACAGACGTGTTTGGAATGAGGCAACTTTGATATCTTTGAATACATGTCACATTCACGGCTTCAAGAAATTCAAGCAGCAACTAATAATTGGGATGAAATGTTGCTCCATTCCTATCCCACATAACACCATGTGGATGATCCTAAGACACGCTTTAGTCCCTTCATCCGGCCGTTTTATTCTGCTTGTTTGGGTGGCAGCAATCCAAGTAGGGAAGCCGAGACAGGGACCTTCAGTTTGATCAGGGGAACGCAGTGGTGTCCCAATTGTGAGCCATTGCTCCTGCAGCTTGTCCTACGTCCACACTTGATCTGCAAATATCTGCTATAATAGTGAACGGAACCGGCGTCAAAAGGCACCCTTGGTGGAGTTCAGCATCACCCGTGAAGTAGTTGGACTTCTGTAGCTTCCAACAGTCTTCCATCAGCCTTTTTTGTTGTCGCTGTGTTTGACGGGCCACATCCCCTTTGTAGCAAAACAAATTGAATGTTTTCTTCCACTTCCTGTAACGACCAGGTGTCACATTACTTTTGTGAACATCATTGTGTATTTCATGGCTATTGGTGAGTCTTCTGTTTATTACACCCCTGTGCCCTTTGAAGAGTTTTAATTGCTTTCTCTTTAGTTGGCTCCTCCATGAAAAGCTTCCCTTGAGGAGGCTGCCGCCTGACACGTCTCAGGGCAGCCACGAGATTTCTGTTGCATGGTTCCACTGTGGCCAACCACAACACAACATTTAATAGCATGACACATACACACACACAGAAAATGGCTGTGCTGCCCTGAATCTAGGACACTTCTTTCTCACTAGTGGGCGTACAGTATGTGAAATCAAAAAAACTTAAATTGGACGCTGTGCACAGATGTCACTATTTTGATAGTGAGAAAATGGGTTTGACTCCTGTATGGAATTTGCATGCTCTCCCCATGCCTGCGTGGGTTTTCTTCGGGTACTGGTTTCCTCCCACATTCCCAAAACATGCATGGCAGGTTGACTGATCGCTTGTCTCCAGGTGCGATTGTGAGTGTGAATGGTTGTTCATCTACGTGTGCCCTGTGATTGGCTGACAAGCAGCTCAGGGTGGTCTCCGCCTACTGCCCGAAGAAAACTGGGATAGGTTCTGGCACGACCCTCGTAGATGGATAAAAATGGTGGCGTGACTTCTAGCAAACCTTTTCTGTGACAATGAGAGGAGACGTTCCCGGTTATGTGAAGGCCCGCATTGATGAGATGAAACATGACAGAGCTCGCCAACGTAACAGTCACGAGCAGCCGTTCCTTAAGTGCCCCTGAAAGAAATCTGGATGAAGAGTATCAGGTCACAGCTGCAGGCGGGTCAGCCCGTGCCACTGCACGCTTAGACTCCATAAAGAGCGCACAGCTCGACGGGCCCGATCGGTGCACACGTCAGCTTGTGAGGTGATGAGGCTGTAAGCTGCCAAGGTCGGCCATATTTATGAAGGGGTTGAGGACTAGCGCAAGGTAAACACTGCGTCTCCCCGAGATTACAGGGCAGCCCGAGGGCTGGAAAAAACGGGTTCCGGTTTTGGTAATGGGTGTGGGGCGGGGAAAAACTTCAATGGCAAAAATAGACAAGAGGAGGAAGAAAGGTACAAAAATAAAAGGCCTTGAAGAAGATGATGATGATGAAGAAGATTGACCAAAATTAAGCCTGGCTTTTGAGAGCCGGAGCTGCATTATCGTCTGTCAAAGTAGAAAGTGTTGAAGGAATGAATGACTCATCCGACAGTGGCCTGGACAGTCACTGTAATTTCATTGCAGGTGATTATCATTGACTCGGACAGATGGCTTCTCATTCAGAGAGACCAGATGATTCCTCCCCGTAGTGCTCAATGCCTCTCACAGGCCGCAGCACTTTCACAACGCTGATTAATGCATGTGGTAATTACAGTTTAATAAAAATTTCACTTTCTGATTCCGTGATTCATTCCGCATGAGAGCACCAATGATGGAAACTGATGTTGTTTGATGAACACAAGACGCCGCACTTCACTTACTGAATCCATCTTCAGAAAATAGAAATGAGGTCTGCGGAGAACACCGCGATACACAACAGCCCCGCGGCTGTTTCTAATCCATCATTCCCGCGTCGCCATTTCTGTCGACGTAGTCACACCAGAAAGTTTTAAATGTGCACCTCTTGATTTAGCTGAAGTCATCTTAATTGTCCGTGCTTTAGGTGAGGTTCTTCATCTGGGCAAGATCTCCGCACGCACCGTCAACGGTGGCTGGTCCTCGTGGTCTTCTTGGACCCAGTGCAGCAGAGACTGCAGTCGTGGCATCCGCAGCAGGAAACGGGCTTGCAGCAACCCGGAGCCAAAGTACGGGGGTCAGACCTGCCTGGGGGCCGCCCAGGAGTACCAGGAGTGCAACACCACTCCTTGTCCCGGTAAGGGATGCACACAAAGATTCACCAGAGAGAGAATATGAAGACGTATCTCACTGATAACTTTGGAAATGTTTAACAGTATTTTGTATTCGACGTATTCAAATACAGTGGTACCGAAAATTTGTTTAATTGCTCTACCCACTACTACTAAATCTACTAATCTCCAATGAGATTTGTTTTTCCGTGCGGAACAACTGTGTCATTCGAAGAGGAAAAAAGTATACTTTTACAAAGGACTCGAGATTCCATGTCTCCATGGCAAGCAATTACTTCCCCTCATTTGCGGTCCTACACAGATGAATACACACATCCACTCATCCAACCTGAGTTATCTTTTCCCCTTGAGTAAAAAAAGTGATAGAAAATCACGCTGCCAAATGACTTGCAAATCTTCAGGAATCACAAAAGAAATCAGACGCGGAAAGAGAAGCTGTGATGAAAACTCCAATTAACACCAAGGAATCAAAAGAGCCCCTCCCTGAGGCACTCCGCTATGTAATTACATAACAGATAAGTGATGCCGCCGGCTACGGCAGCCCTTGTTCACCGTAAAAAGCCCGGAGACGATGCCATTTCAAACCATGGCAAAAAGATGCATTCTGGTGAACAGGATCTGATGCTTGAGGAAGGAAAAGCTCTTTCTCAATGGAAATGCCCAACGTTTGACATCAAACGCACAGGTCTTAAAGAATATTCATCTGCCACCCCTTGAGAAAAGGGTTGAGATATCTTGCTAATAGTCTGGCTACGCACGTCATCGGCACCACCTTCAAGGTGTTTTACTCAACGCTGCCATGCTGGAAGTAAGCAAAGGCGACACGGGCGTGAGCGGCCATCAGTGCCGTTGTTTCAGCCCGTTAATTCAGTCCGCAAACGGCCGCGTGTGCGGGCTGGCAAACCTTTCCGCCTCATGCTAGTGCATGCAGCACATTGTGTCAAGATGTAGACTAATCACACCGAAGCGATAGTTGGGGCTCTCAGGTTTGAGCAGCAATACAAATGCTTCTCCTAATAGTGTTCGTCTGAAAGTCTGATGCCATTTTTGGCAGATGCGGCGTGAGACCAGCTGGGATCTTCCGCCGTCTTATCCTATCGTCTTTAATCCAAAGCTTTGAAGGAGGAAAACAGGTGTCGCGCCAACCATCCGTCTGGTTTAGGAACAAATGAATCTTGTGTTTTTCTCACAACTTCGCCCAAGATGAGACGATCCGTCACGGAGGGCCAGGAATCGACTTGCGCGTTACTTTGAGATAGAGAAATTACGCCGAGATGACAAAAAGCCACGGCATCTTCAATTACCTGCGCAAGAGCTGCCAAGCGCCAGCGGGTCTTTAAAAGCAATTCTCGGATGCTCCTGAAAAAGGGGAATTACTCTCTGCCAAAATGCACTTGCCATTTATCCATATGATTGGATATTAACGATATTAACTTGTAATTCTCCCGCCTGCCCTCATAAATAGTGCTTCACTTTTGGTATGGTAGGAATTTCTGTATCTCTTATTGCCCGCAAAATTACACCAAAACATTCTAATGATTTTCTTTTGTCCTTCCTCTGCTACCTTTAGTGGATGGGAGCTGGTCCTGCTGGTCTCCGTGGTCCAAGTGCTCCGTGACATGCGGAGGCGGACATTACATGAGGACTCGAACTTGCAGTAACCCCCCGCCTGCTTACGGAGGGGACATCTGCCTTGGCCTGCACACTGAGGAGGCGCTATGCAACACTCAAACCTGTCCAGGTATATAAACACACACACACACACACACACACACACACACACACACACACACACCCATCCATATGTATCACAGATTCCATTGCTTATTCTTTTCAGTCACTCTAGGCCCAGTGGAAGTCAGTCATGCATGACTAATACATAACCAAGGACCCTCACCAACAACACAATGCAGCTGGGAGATTTACTGTCATTTTTTTTTCGTTCGCAGAGAGCTGGTCCAGCTGGTCACAGTGGTCCCAGTGCGACTCCAGAGGGGCCCAGATGCGTGTCCGTCAACGATATTAACTTGTAATTCTCCCGCCTGCCCTCATAAATAGTGCTTCACTTTTGGTATGGTAGGAATTTCTGTATCTCTTATTGCCCGCAAAATTACACCAAAACATTCTAATGATTTTCTTTTGTCCTTCCTCTGCTACCTTTAGTGGATGGGAGCTGGTCCTGCTGGTCTCCGTGGTCCAAGTGCTCCGTGACATGCGGAGGCGGACATTACATGAGGACTCGAACTTGCAGTAACCCCCCGCCTGCTTACGGAGGGGACATCTGCCTTGGCCTGCACACTGAGGAGGCGCTATGCAACACTCAAACCTGTCCAGGTATATAAACACACACACACACACACACACACACACACACACACACACACACACACCCATCCATATGTATCACAGATTCCATTGCTTATTCTTTTCAGTCACTCTAGGCCCAGTGGAAGTCAGTCATGCATGACTAATACATAACCAAGGACCCTCACCAACAACACAATGCAGCTGGGAGATTTACTGTCATTTTTTTTTCGTTCGCAGAGAGCTGGTCCAGCTGGTCACAGTGGTCCCAGTGCGACTCCAGAGGGGCCCAGATGCGTGTCCGTCATTGTGATGTCCTGTTTCCTACTGGAAATCAGTGCTCAGGAAACAGCAGCGAGAGCAGGCTGTGCTCTCCTGAGTCCAACTTTATACCAGGTACCATTGACACAAGACACACATTCACAGACGAAGGCAGTGAGGATCCAGCTCGAGGATGGAGGCCCACTGCAGTCATCTAAATAATGTCACGATACGCCTTATTTATCTCACTCTGGGCATTTGTATGATCAGTCGAGGCATGACACCCCCAAAAAAGTGAGGAAATGGCACCTTTGTTCAAGCCAAATGTACATGAAGTTTGTCCTTCATTAACAACCATATTGCTATTGGCAGAAAGTAACAAGAAAAGACGTCTGTGCATTGATTTCTTCCACAGCCGGATCCTTAAAGCAAGATGGAACACATTAGTCATAAACAACTATGTCAACAATTTTAATGCTAAGTCCTAAAAAGAAATGACTACTTTACACTATTCATGAGCTCCAAGCTAACCAGCACTTCCATTAATCACGAGAGTAAACAATTAGCTGAATCAAAGGTCGTTAAGTATTTTGCATTAATTAGCAAGGATATAATACTTTCGCAAAAGTCTTACGGAATTACCCATTTTCGTTCCTCATCAATCGCCTTTAATAGGAAGGCTTGTCAATGGGGGTGTATTAGAAATGTTTTGTACTTCATTTTCTCTAATGAGGACGTCTATTTTTCATAAAACACTCCAGGTGCCGCCACGGCCATGATTATAGCTTGCGGAGTTTCTCCGGTAATCTTTCTCATATTGAAAGCAGCTTTCATCTCGCCATTCGCCAACGGAGGTGTAATTTGTCACGCGAGCAGGGGTGTGTTTGTGCCGGTTCCAGACCTAATTCTGATACCTTTTGCTATTTTTTTTTCTCATTTTATCAGAAATCTCCATTGCACGCTCCAGTCAGGAGGAGAGACGCTGTGGAGGTAATAGATGTGTGAATCTCGTTGAATGCGTGTGAGAAAGAGAGAGAAAAACCTACATGTGGCGTACTAATTTGCAATTCTGCTTAAATGAATATAAATCCCACCCCCCGAAATGCTGATCTGATAATAATCTCACTGCAGTAGTCTAAATTACATGCTAGGCCACACACACGCACACACATGTCCTCCAGTAACGTACTGCAGTCGCACTTAAAATTCAGGTGCAGAAAAATCCTGAGTAAAATGTACCGTAGCTACACGGTTACAGTTTGAGGGGATCAATCAAATCTCTTTTAACCATGTTTACTTCCGCAACAGCTGCAGGAATGCTGATGAAAGTGCTCAAGGTTCATAAGAAGCGCACGAATACGCTTGCATATGTTGGTGCACAACTGGCAGCTGGGAGTCAAGTCATGGAAGTTCACAGCCAAATACCCAAATTGTGACTGTCACTTATGACAGTTTTTGACAGTTACTGACAAGATTTGCTCGTTTGTTCTCAATGTTACCAGATATTTATAGAATTGCATGCAATGTTGTATATGCATCAAAACGATAGTAATGGTCTCCAAAAAGGAGATGTGTCGAACCTAAACAATGCAGCATATTTATATTGAGTGATAAATGCCAGCTAAGTAGCGTTCAATCACTCACGAAATGAGGAAAGTATTTCTCTAGCCGCCCATTAGCATTCTAGCTAAATTCCAATACAGCGGACAAAGTTTTGTCTGCTTTCCCCAGGTACTTTGGATTCCTCCCACATTCCCAAAACATGAATATCAGGTTCATCTCCAACTAACCTAACATTCCCTTTTGTGATGTCTGCATGAATGGTTGTTTGTCTACATTGGTTGTCACCCATTTGAGGTTGCACCCTTGCCTCTCGACCACAATCAGCTCGAGCACATGGGCAACCCTAATGAGGATAAGCCCTCTCGAAAAAGGATGGAAGGATTCCAAGAAGGCTTCGCCATCACCAAGTTCTCGAGCCTTAATGAGGCCATCATAAGAGCGTGATTTGCAGCTTGAGCTTCCAATCTCCCTCCTTCCCTCTGCTTCACCTCCATTCAGATTTCAACCTCTTCCACATGATCGCTGTGGGGCTCAGCAGCTCCATTCTGGGATGTCTGGTCACCCTGCTGGTGTATTCGTACTGCCAGCACTACCAGCAGCAGTCGCACGACGCCACCGTCATCCACCCCATCTCCGCCGCGCCGCTCAACACCAGCATCACCAACCACATCAACAAACTGGACAAATACGACACCGTGGAGGCCATTAAGGTCTGTACTCGATATTTTACGAACAGTTACTGCCATGAGGTACACTTCCCGCTGCATGACTCGGGACTGTCACGCGACCGACCGCCTGCCGAGCGCTGACACCGTCTCGCCTTGTAACAGATTGACAAGCGTTGCGTGGCTTTCTTTTTTTCATGTACTCCACTGGCGTCTCACTGTGTCACTTTGTTCTATGTCGACGTCAAACCTCTGCTTTCTCATAATATATTCATGCACCTCGGGGCCGTCAGGGAACACTCACTTGTGTCTCGGAGATCTCTGCTTATGACAATTTCCGAGTAGCGTCGTACTGGGTACTGCGGCTCCATCCCAGCTTTTATCAACCTCTATAATCTGTTACCTTGCTGCATTTTAGATCTGCAGTGATGACCTGGAAAAATTGGAGATGATTACATAAGCGGCACTTTATGAACGAAAAAAGCAAACGCCCAGGGGCTCTGTTAGGCAGAACAGATCCTTTGGCTCAGCGCAAACCTCTCCGAGTGTAATTTCATCAAGGCATGAAGGTGTCGGGAGCATTCATCTGTCATGCAATTAGAGTCGGGGGCATAATTCACTCTGTTCATTTGCAGACGGAGGCGAATATTAATACAGACAGTCCACATCACATTACAAAAATAAAGAACAAAAAAAAAAGCCTATTATTTTTCCCCCCGTGTCTGTCTTTCTAAATGGGCTCGATGATCAAATATACAAAGACAAACTAAGCCTCGTCCTCCTCCCGAAAAGTCCATAATGCTGCATTTCCAATGATGGATGTTAATTCTCAAAGCAGCAGCTTCATCCTGAGCAAAAGGAGCCGCCGCATATTGCTTACTTGGTGTCCAGTCAATAATAATGAAGCAAAAGGTTTGGTGTTGTTTCCTCCCTCTCCTTGCAGCCAGACGTTTCGGTTCTCTTGCCCTTGGACGAGCCCGCCATGCACCACCAGCCTGTCTCTGCTAACATGGGGGTGTCTATGCGGGGCCTGGAGATATTCTACTAACCGCTGACCTCACTACAACATCCCA